GCTCCTCCCAAGCGCACCTCCTTCTCTTCTCACTTTCACATCCTCCAGGGCCCGGGCCTCAGGGCCTTTGCACTCACCTTTGCCCTCCCTGGACCGGGGCTCCCCCTTGGACTTTCTGGGGTGCTTCTCCTCACCTCGGTCTCCGCACAGGGTCCCATCCCTGATGGCCACCACCAGCCCCAAGCCAGTCCACTCCTGGATCCTGCTTTGCTTTTCTTAAACACTCCCATGGGCTGAATGTGTGCCTCCAAAACGCACTTTGAACAGAAGCCCCCAAAGCCCAAGTCCCCTCCCCTTCCTGGTCTACTCATGTCCACCCTGCCCACAGCACCTTGTCCACGGGTAGAGCGGCCTGATGAAGACGCACGTCACCTCATTGTACCCTGGGTCACTCTCCAAACTCTTTCTTTACTGGTACGGGGGCTCGAGCCCACCCTCTGCCACTGAGCCAGCTCTCCAGCCTTCTTTACTTTTTATTTTGAGACAGGGTCTTGCCAACTTGCTTAGGGCCGTGCTAAGTTGCTAAGGCTGGCCTCAAACTTACGATCCTCCTGCCTCAGCCTCCTGAGTCACTGGGATTACAGATGTGAACCACCACACGGGGGTCATGGCATTTCTTAAAATATGGAGTAGGCAAAAAATGGCACATTGGCTTTATGTTCTATCTGCAGCCCACGGAGCGCTGTCTTCGGTGGTCTCCGTGCTCTGCTGGCCTGTAGTCAGTCCTTTTAGGCTAGTTTTGGTTTGAGTTCCTAAAACTGAGCCTTCTGGAACCACTCTCAAGCAAATGAGCAGCCCCCTCCCCGCCCCCGCCAGTTTTAATCTCCCTCAACCCCTTCCTGTTCCTTCTAGGGCTAACTTGTGATTACAGATCTGTTGGGGGGATCTGGTATGCAAAGTCAGTCTTCCTGCCCCAAACTTTCACTTCTGAAGTTCACTGACCACTGTGACTACTGTGACCACCCACCACTGACAGGCTTTGCAGAGAATCTAAGGTGGAGCAATTGTGTGGCAGGTACAAGGCCTGAGTCTGTCCCCTCCAAAAAGAAAAGCACTGATCAAGAAGCCCTGGGTGAGCAGGTCTTCAAGGACACCGCGTGATGAGCTGTGGTTAGAACAGATATTTAGGGGACTAGTAGAACAACTAGTTAAGGCCTACTAACCAGGACACTGAGTATGGTAATAGGGTTGTGCTCTTTGGCCTTGATAGCAACAATTCAAAACAAGTAAGAGGAGATCCACCACACGGACCTAATAGAACAGATCCAGGGCCTGAGTTCAGCTCAGAAACCACCACTTTGAAATCCGCCGGCTCTGCTTTGGTTGAACAGTGAACCCCTCTGGTGAAGTCACTAAACAGTGCTTGGACATCCTCTGAGGAGGGCACTAAAACCCCTTGGCCCATCCTCGTCTGTGGCCCCCTGGGTGGCTCAGCATCCTTGCAGCCAAGAACCTGGGTCAGGTCAGGCATGGTGGCCTGCACCTGTAGTCC